GTTGTTAAAACAACAAATATATATATTAGATTCCATTCAGCAACAATGGAATGGGATCCTGTCCTTGAATATATGCATCCATCCTTCCATGTGATCAAAATGGGACTAACAAATCAAAATTTTTTACCAGCCAATCAAAAGGTTGTTAAAAATGGATATCAAGATATTCTTAACATGATGCCCTATAGAAGAGCAAAAGGATATAAAGAGATATTTGAACATGTGACTTAGATAATTATTGAGAAAGAAAAAATATGGGTTTATCCATCTGAAGATCATATTATCTATTCCAATGCAAGAATAGATACCAAAGAAGAAGATATTTGTTATCTCGACCATTTATTATCAGCAATTATATCCAACCAAGTGCACGGATCAGAGGATATGGCTAAAGAATTATGCAAATTACTTTGGAATTACAGTGATCACCATTGTGAATACTGTGTTGTTGAAGATATGAGTCAAGCATCCCTTAATGATGAAGAATTCCCTGCAGAATTCTTTGATTCAAAAATGGAGAAGTGATGGTGACTAAAGTAGCCCTTTATCACTACTTTAATAAAGAAATTTATTAAAGAAAAACTGTGGCTACTAGAAGACAGAAGATAATACAAGAAAAGTCTCTATAATTGTAACTACTCCTCACTACTAGTTACAAGTGGCAGACAAACCCAAAAGATAAGGTATCTAATTTCAAAAGAAGCGGTCCACCCAACAAGAAGACAATGAAGAATTCGGTGGAGATAAGATGGCCTAGCTACCCAACAAAGGAAAAAGAAAGACACCTGTCCAAGATAAGATTCCAAAATCTCCTATAAAATGAGGCAGGAAGGAAGGGAGAAGATATCTCGAAAAAATCTATCTCTATTCTCTGAGAACATATTAGAGAAAAATTTCTTGTAATCTGTATACACCAATTGTATTCAGAAAAATATTAGATAGCTTGAAGATAGGAAAGCGTGTAATAAGGTAATCACTTATGGAGTTCTAAACTTCATAAGGTGAGTACCAAAAGTATGTAAATATAGTTTGTAAGCATGTACAATTTCAATTTATGAATATCAAAGTAAAGTTTGTCATGTTCAACAAAGCTTACATAAAAGGATTTCGTTAAGTCTCTCATGATTCCTCGGCAGTACAGATAGAGATTTTAAAAGATTTTCAAAACATTGATTTTGAATGGATGTTAGCCATGCCAAAGTACTCGTATTTGATGAATGGTTTAGGGTTAAAAGGCAGTTTCCTAACAAAAATTTGTATCACCTTGTGTGTGAGTTATCTTTTAAAATTTCGTTCCAAGTAGGAACTTGATCCTGAAAAGAGTTCGGATAGAGGTGAAAACAGAGACTCTGGATACTGTGAGATAGCGTCTGTGGCAACACGGCTAGTTCTCTAGAGTGAGAAATGCAACCTTAATTGAAAAGCCTTTTGCGGAAGCAGTTGTGGACCCAAATGATTTCAAAAACATTTTAAATCTTTACTTGATTCAGAAGATTAATTAAGTACATGCAAAACATCTATAAGAGCATACTGGAGGGAAAACCTGTTTATTTCCTATAAGTTATTTATTTATTTTTACATACTTATACTTTAATTATTCTGATGAACAATTCACAAGTATCCACATCCACTAATGATAATAATTTCATATTATTTTTAGATGAAAAAAATGTTTCGTTTTTACTTAAATTAGATGAAAAATCTGATGATATATTTCATGTTGGTAAAGAAAAAATTGAAGAAATATATAGAGATATAGATTATAATTGTAGAAATAATATAGGATTTAATTCTGTAGGAACTAGTAGAGAAATAAGAAATGTAGAGGATATTATAACTAAACATAGAGATATACAAGAAGAGATTTCAGAAGGATTATTTAAAGGATATATGACCAAGAAAGGACAACCCATAATCTTTGAAGAACTACTAAAATACAAGGAATATTTAAAGGTGTTCAAAAGACTGAAAAATATAGATATAGGTCCTGATTGAAAAATCCTTAAAGATATAGGACACATCTTGCAAATAACTTTAGTAAGGGCAAAATAATATTTTTAACAAAAAAAAGTACCCCCATATTATGATTGGTGTTTTTGTTTGTGATGTAATATCTGTAGCATTCAGAAAAACCATTCTTACTGTTGCTGCTAAAAAAGAGGATAGAAAATGGTGAGGCCATATAAGGTGACGGGACAGAAGCGAAAGAAGAAAGAGAAGTATGATAGAGAAGAAGAATATGAACAGTTAGATGACAATGATATACCACAGTCACCAAAGAAAGCTAAAACAGAGGGCTTAGAGGGCTCGGAGTTAGACAAGGAGAAAGCAGAGCAAGTTATTGATGAAATGCCCCGAATCCCGATTGTCCCGACAGACATGTTCAAAAAGTCCAGGGATATTTTTATTCTGGAGCGGGCTTCTCTTGAAATTAGTAAAGTTGGAAAGGTCCGTATGGTTGGTTGCGGTGGAATAGGGAAGTTTGTTGTGCATTTTAAAGTTCTCTAGGTTAATTGACACAAGTTGCTTTTCCATGTGCAGAGTTATCAGCTTTTGAGTTCGGATGAACATGCGAATTATTTAATGAAGAATAAGCGAAAACCAGCAGAACATTGCTTTTCAGGTCTGTTTGAGGTTTGGTCCACTACTTGCTCTAATTTTTCATGATCGTTGATTCTGCTTGGATAACAAGTGATGTTTGAATCTTTGACAGTAGTGAAATGTAGTTTGAGACGTCCCCATATTGATGCTGGATTATCAGGGATTAATCTCATCTTAGTGCCTTAGTTGTAGAGTAAACAAGTCAAGCCAAACTTGAAAATAGAATATTCACTATTTACCAGATAGCAAAGCTAACCTTTAATTGATGATAACCTTGGCTTGGTTTCACAACCAACAATCTCGGATGAGGTTTAATTGAGTTGAGCAGCTTTATTTTTTATATATGTCAACTCATTATACCAAACCCAAGAGGAGCTTATCTAGTGTTTTGGATGCCACTTGTTTCTTTCAGCTTTTTAGATGTCTAAAAGTACTGATGAGAATTAGGATTAGGTTTGAAAGAAATGATAAGAAGGACTTGGTAAATCATGCCAAAGCCATATGTTTACTACATATTTATAGGAGCAATATTTACAGATTTGAAACATTCACATCCTCTAATGTAGCAAAATTACAGCAAAATTACAGTAAATAATTCCTACAGATAATCCTATTACTATGCTGGACATATGGCAGATTTGGAGCCTTCATCATTGCTAATATCAATCAACATTGCTGGTACTTTTATGAGAATTGGGAACAGAAATGGAAGGTTGCTGTCTAACACCCCCCCCCCCCCCGCAAGCCAATGGGGAGGTCACAAACCATGAGCTTGTCCTTCAACAGTTGAAATCGGGAGGATGTTAATCCTTTTGTGAAAATGTCACCCACTTGATCCACTGAAGAGATGTACTGAATGCAAACATCACCATTTACCACCTTTTCTCTAATGAAATGAAAATCCACCTCAATATGTTTTGTACGAGCATGATAAACGGGATTGGCAGCGAGTGCAATGGCACTTTGATTATCACACCAAATGGTTGGAGGTAAAGTAAGTGGAATGTTCAAGTCTTTTAGTAACATGCGAATCCAATAAAGTTCAGCAACAACCATCGCAAGAGCTTGATATTCAGCTTCCGTACTAGATCGAGCTACAACACTCTGCTTCTTAGCACACCACGATATTAAGCAAGGGCCAAAGAAAATACCATAGCCGGTAGTAGACCTTCGATCAGATGGGTCACCAGCCCAATCTGAATCACAGTATGCATTTAGAGTTAGAGGACCCTTGTTGAAGTACAAACCATGTTCAACAGTGCCTTTGAGGTAACGCAAGACTCGCTTAGCAGACTTCCAATGGATATGAGTAGGGGAATGAAGATGTTGGCAGAGTTGATTGACTGAATATGCAATTTCAGGGCGAGTAAGAGTACAATACTGAAGTGCCCCAACTATTTGCCTATAAGTTGTAGCGTCTTTAACTGGTTCATCAGTGCTAGAAGACAATTTTTCACCAGATACACAAGGAGCAGGATATGGTCTGGCCCCAATCATTCTTGATCGATGCAAAATATCTAGGATATACTTGCTTTGACGTAAATGAAGACCATGACAGTCCCGAGTAGCTTCAATTCCAAGAAAATATCCAAGATTACCTAGAGTTTTGAGTGCAAAATCTTGTTGGAGTTGCTTAGTTACTATTTGAATGAATTGGGAACATGAGCCAGTAATCAATAAGTCATCAACATAGATTAATATAAAAACATGTATCTACCCATGGTGATAAGTAAATAAAGAGTTGTCAACTGAAGAACCTTGAAAACCAAGATCTAATAGGCAATTTGAGAGTTTGAAGAACCAAGCTCTTGGGGCTTGCTTGAGTCCATAAAGTGCCTTTTTAAGGCGACAGACATGATGAGGTGCAGTAGGGTCAACAAATCCCTGTGGTTGTTCAATAAAAACTTCTTCTTCGAGATTTCCATGAAGGAAAGCATTGGAAACATCATATTGTAAAATGGGCCAGCCAAAAGAAACAGCGAGACAAAGAACCACACGTACAGTTGCTGGTTTTATTACCAGACTGAAAGTTTCGGTAAAATTGACACCATCTATTTGTTGAAAACCTTTAGCAACTAGTCTCGCCTTGTAACGGTCAACACTTCCATCCGCCTTTTGCTTAATTTTGTACACCCATTTGGTACGGATGATGTTATGATCAACAGGACGAGGGACAATATCCCAAGTATCATTGGCTATTAGTGCATCATATTCCTATTGCATAGCTTCCTGCCACTCCTGAGATAAAGCAGCTTGGGAAAAAGCAGTAGGCTCAACAATATTAAGCACACTATGATATGCACGTACAGGATGATTAGATGCATAAAATGTATAAAAATCAAGGAATTGCTTGGGTCGAATAGAACCAGTTTGGGATCGGGTTACCATTTGATGTTGAGTTGGATTGGGTATAGGAGGGCGTTCAGTTTCTGACTCATCAGAGGTTAGGTGGGTCTCGATTGTTGGAGAAGGACTAAAGTCAGGTATGTGTTCGGTGGTGTTAGATGAAGAAGTAGCTAGTATTGGTAATTCTTCTTCATGTGGTTGGTGTGACAATATATTGAGTTGAGAGTAAAAGGGTGCAAGATCAGATGAAATACCTGGCACGGTGGCATTTGAAGTAGCAGAGCAAGTAGAGGAGGTCCATCCTTTTGCTGGAAAGTTTTGTTCATCAAAGGCTACATTACGAGATATGTACACTTTATTAGAGACAGGGTCTAAACATCGATAGCCTCGATGGTGAGAAGAATATCCAATAAAAATACATTATTTACTCCTAAAAGCTAGTTTATGTCTCGTGTAGGGTCTCAATAAAGGATAACAGGCACATCCAAAATTTCTCATGAAACAATAATCTGGGTTTTCCTCAAACAATTTTGAATATGGAGATGCATTTTTCAAAACAGGTGTGGGTACTCGGTTAATGAGGTAAATGGCTGTCATGAAGGCATCGACCCAGAATTTTGTAGGTAAATGTGATTGACTTAAAAGTGAGAGTCCAACTTCCATAATGTGTCGATGTTTTCGTTTAGCCGAACCATTTTGTTGAGAGGTATATGGACATGATAGGCATTAATGGATACCATTTTTGCGAAGAAAAGATTGGAATTGGTTTGAGAGATATTCACCACCATTATCACATTGAAATTCTTTAATTGTCGAAGAGAAACGGTTTTCAACTTGGGCCTTAAATTGCATAAAACATGAGAGCACTTCGGATTTATTTTTAAGTAGGTACAACCAAGTAAATCTAGAGTAATCGTCAATGAAGATAACATAATAACGATGACCATCAGAAGATGGTGTAGGAGAGACACAAACATTAGAATGAATAAGTTTGAGTTTTGATAACGTGATACGTGAAGACTCATTGAAACGTAAATTTTTTGCTTTTCCCAATAAATAAGATTCACAAACAGACTCAATATTAAAGGATCCAGAAATAGGCAATTCAAAATTCTTGACTACATTTTTTGTGACTTGAAAAGATGGATGACCCAATCTCGAATGCCAACCATTAAGTGTAGTCCGAACACTTAAGAGAGCAGCATGAGACCGAAATTTATTGATAGATTTTCGATCAACTTGAATATGATAGAGACCTCCTTCACTCCACCCTGCTAGCAACGTTCGTCTCGTGCGGTTGTCCTTAACAAGAAATTGAGAACCGGTTAGAATACAATAGCAATCATTATCTAAGCAAAGCTTATTTATTGACAAAAGGTTTACTGATGCTTGTGGACAATGAAGGACATTTTTTAAGTGTAATGGCAAAGGAGATTCCTGCAACGTGAGATTACTAGTATGCTTAATTTGTAAACAATTACCATTACTCACGGCTACTTTATCATAGGGCTGGGCAAATCTCCCGAACCGAACCGACTGAACCGAACCCGAACCGAACCCGACGGTTCTTGTCAAATTAAATACCCGAACGGGTATCTGAATTGAGAACCGACGGGTACGGTTCGGTTCTCGGTTCTAGACCAAGAACCAAAGAACCGAATAAGAACCGAATATTTCTATTTTTTTTATATTGAGTAAATCAAATTATGTTAATTTTAATTTGTTCTAAACAAATTAACAATTTATAAATCCAAATTTTTGACCCAATAATTTGTTTCATTTCTAATTTTTTAATTTTTGGTCTCATTACCCATTTTATTGTTTCATTTCTTAGGACAACAAGATTCAATCCATTAAATAACTCTAAACACCTACACTAAAGTGCATAACGTTGTCTCGACTCTCGCACTCACTCTCGTAGCCTCGCTGACATTTCAAAATCTATACAATCGTCGACCGATACTGTGACCTTCGATCGAAGTTGCGACCTCCATTGATCGAAACTTTGACCGTAGCGATCATTTGAATAAGGTAGTCTACTAGTCTATTGCATTCCAAAATCATTGAATGTATCATTAATTGTATTTATATAATATTGTTATAAATGTTAAAAAATTTAATTATAGTACAGAACCAAACGGAACGGAACCAAACCGAACCGAACCGAACGAAACCGAACCCGAACGGTTTCATAATTATATTTGGACCCGACGGTTCCATTTACTAGAGACCCGAAAATTTTGGTTCGGTTCGGTTCTAAAGAGAACCGAACCGAACCGACCCGCGCCCACCCCTACTTTATCATCTCCATGATACAGCTCAGTCAAGTGAAGGTTTGAGAGATCTGTTGTGATATGTTGATTAGCACCACTGTCTACATACCATGTGTTGTCCTCAAGAATAGAATTGGAATGAGCAGCCATAGCTGCTAGCTGTTGAGGAGGATGACGTCCCTGGTAATTGTAGTCATAGCGGTGGAAACAGTCAAGTGCCATATGACTCTTTTTCTTACAAATTTGACAAGCATAAGGGTCAAAGTCAGGTACGTTTGCCCAAGCAGGAATTTGATTTGGAATATGATTGGCAGCTTGAGGGGACTTCTTTGCCAGAGTAGGAGTCGTATTAGGATGAGCTTGTTGCCAATTCCTGTTATTTTTCTTTGGGTTCTTTCCTCCTCCAAACTTGTT